AGCTATTAATGGGTACAGAATTTCAGTTTTGCAAGATGAAAAGAGTTCTCGAGATGGATGGTGGTGATGGCTGTACAACAATGTGAATGTACTTAACACTACTGAACTGTACTCTCAAAAACAATTAAGATGGCAAATTTTATATATAAAATTTGCAGCTTTGGGAACATATGTATATGTATGACTGATTCACTTTGTTGTAAAGCAGAAACTAACTCACCATTGTAAAGAAATTATACCCCAATAAAGATGTTAAAAAAGAAAAAAACAGAAAATTTGCAACTTGCAGGATCTTAGTTCCCCGACCAGGGATTGAACCTGGGCCCTGGCAGTGAAAGCACCGAGTCCTAACCACTACACTGCCAGGTCACCCTTCCAAAAATGCTCAAGATGGCAAATTTTATATTATGTACATGTACATATTGTTACAATTTTTTTAAAAAAGCAGTCTGATAAAAATGATTAATTAGATATAGAACAATGATTTCAATGGCTGTGGATTTCTCATTAGAAACTGTGGAAGCAAGAAGACAGTGGGATATCTTTAAAGTGCTGAAACAAAATAACTATATCCAGAAAGAATAAATTCAGGAATGAAGGCAAAATGAAGACAATCCTCAGATGAAGGAAAACTAAGAGAATTAATTAGCATACTTGCTCTAAGAGAAGTGCTCAAGGAAGTTTTTCAGGCTGAAGGGAAATAATAGCAGAGGGAACCTTAGAACATACATTGTAAGTATCTCCTCTTAAGTTCTTTAAATTATGTATATCTATTGAGAGCAAAAATTATAACAGTATCTGGTAGGGTTTTCAATGTACCTTGACATAATTTATACAACTACAGTATAACATAAAAGGGGGAGGGTAAAAGGATCTATATAGTTGTGAGGCATCTACATTTAACTGCAAGTAGTTAGATATGTATATTATAATCCTGAGAGCAACCTCTTAAAAAGTATAGAGATATAACCAAAAGTCAATAGATATATTAAAATGAAATACTAAAATATATTCAAATGATCCAAAAAGTGGCAGGAAAGGGGACAGACAGGAGCAGAAAACAAATAAAATGGTAACCTAAATCCAACCATATCCATATCATTCATAAAAAGTCTATTTAAAAATTTTTTTGGCCACACCGTGTGGCATGCAGGACCTTAAGTTCCCCCAACTAGGGATGGAACCTGTGCCCCCTGCAGTGGAAGTGCGGAGTCCTAACCACTGGACCGCCAGGGAATTCCCTGTAAATGGTCTAAATGCAAAAATAATTTTAAAAGATTATCAGACTGGATTGGAGAATAAGACCCAACTATATCCTGTCTCTAAGAATCCCACATTAAATATAAAGACAGAGGTTAAAGGGATGGAGAAAAATTTTGGAGACCAGTGGCTTGAAGAGAAGGTCTGGGTTTTCCTCTCTCGGATAGCTGGGTGGGGTAGGACAGGTGTGTTTCGGTCACTGCAGAGACAAGGGTGGTATCCCAACAGCAAAAGCAGTGAGTCCCCCGAGTCTGGCTCCCAGACTACCCACCTCAGCTATCAGTTCAAGCAGGGACTTTCACATTCATCACCCAGAAGCCACAGTTCACAAACCACCTGCTGAATCAAACTCAACAGGGATTCTCCTTGCTTCCAATAATTCTAATTCAGCTTTTGCCAAAATAAGGGCATGCTCTGATCGGCTGTAGCTGTGGCTATCTCGGCAAGCTGGCACAAGTTCCAAAGAATCTGGTCTTGTACAATGTGCTTTATGTTCTCTGATCCTCTGTGAATCTCATCTTTTCCATCGTGAGTCTAATAAATCAAAAGTGTCTCCAACTGGTAAGGGAATATTGCAAGTCCTGAGGAGACGAATGAAGAGCTCAGTTACTGGGCCTTAGGTTCTGACTCCAATCCTTGAAGTTTTACAAAGCTGTCTGACATGGAAAGTCCAATCCAAGACAAGCCAAAAGCTCAAAATGAGATTCATGCCTCTAGGAGCAAATGAGGTCACTATTCGAAGAATCTGTGCCACTGCCCCCTCACAGATGAATAAAAACAGAGGTAAGGCCTACTTAAGTAGAACCGTAGAGGTTTTGATCGCAGAAAGAATAAACTACAGGTCAAAGTATGCCAGGATTAGTTTGAAAGTTTTTACCAATTTCCTAATCATGATCAAACATATTTCAGAAAATGATTAACTTCCTACATAAATGAAACAGAATTTTTGAAGGAAGGCTAGTCCAGGTCAGTTATTTTCTCTACCAGCCTCAGGAACAATTAATGGTCTTGGTCCAAATAACACCAAGTAGAAATAGTGTCCATGTTTTGTTTCGTTTTGTTAATTTTTACTTATTTATTTATTTATTGGCTGTATTGGGTCTTCATTGCTGCGCATGGGCTTTCTCTAGTTGCGGCGAGCGGGGGCTACTCTTCGTTGCGGTGCATGGGCTTCTCATTGCTGTGGCTTCTCTTGTTGCAGAGCACGACCTCTAAGAGCACAGGCTCAGTAGTCGTGGCCCATGGGCTTAGCTGCTCTGCGGCATGTGGGATCTTCCCGGACCAGGGCTCGAACCCGTGTCCCCTGCATTGGCAGGCGGATTCTTAACCACTGTGCCACCCGGGAAGTCCCGACTGTCCATGTTTTATGAAAAAGGTTAAATTCTAAGGTTAATCGTGAACAATCACTTGAATTTCAGTCAGATCTACCCCCCACCCCCATATGCTTATGGGAAAGTCTGGTCGCCATTTTCAACTTATTTTCCTAAGTTCTTATTGTACAGATTGCTACCTGAATCCTAGTATCTGTTCTCCCCTTCCACCATGGTATAGAATCCTGATTCTGAGCCAGGCAAATGGTGGCCTGGAATAGACTAATCCCCCAACCTCCCTTGCAACTAGGTGTGATCTACCATGGGACTAAGTCCTAGCCTGTGAGTTGTAAGAGGAGATTTATGGAGCAGCCTTCAGGAACCTTCTATAGAACACTGCTCACACATTTCCTGCACTCTTTTCTGTCTCCTTTCTTTAATCCATCTAGTTGCTTGGAAAGTGGATGTAGTAGCTGGAGTGCTAGCTGCCACCTTGACCATGAAGACCTGGAGGAGTCCAGGTTCCCAAAGACTTTGTGAAACAGACTCATCACACCAGCCCTGGGTTGCCTACTTTTTGGACTTTCAGGTTAGGGAGAAGTAAATTCCCATGTTGTGTAAACCCTGCTGTTATTTTTGGTTTGTGTTACATGTAGCTGAATCTAATCCTAATATAGGTCCTAATGACTGAAACCAAGAAACACTCTCCAGGGATTCCCAGGAAGACGTTCTAGGTGGAGAAACCACCATTCCAATCTATTCTTTGTAGAAGAAAAGTGCAGTCAACTGCCTTTCTTGAGACATTTCACAGTAAGGTTACCAAGAGAAAAACCAACCAACCAACGAAACAAAACACAAACAAACAAAAACAACCAACAACCCCAAAACCAAAACCTTAATGACAACACTAAATGGAGGGCCAGTCTTTGAAAACATTTTAGTTCTGCATGATTTGGTGGGAAAAACACAGTGCAGGTAAGCTGGAAGGGCTGTCCTCTTAGTTCTCATTCTGATGCTCCCTTCCTTGGCCTTGGGTTGGGTTTTCCTCTGTGAACAGTGAGGGTTGTTGAGCTAGATATCTCTAGGCTTTCATACAGCACTGAAATTCTAGTCCATTTTCTAACTTCCATTACATTGCATACTCCTTTTTGGATAAATTAAATAATCCTCAAGTGTTTTTCACAGTGCTTGGCACACGGCAAGGCGCCCTATAAACGTCAGCTAGGAGGGACCACGTTATTCATTGTTGTAGTTTCCACAGTGTCCTGCACAGAGGAGGTGCTCAGCAAATGTCTGCCGCATCCTCCGAGGCTGCCTTATCTTCTGTTGGTCCCCTGCCTGCCCTACAGAAAGCTTCTCCCCTGTACTTACTGGCGTCAGCACGAAGAACCTGAGAAAAGGAGACGTGAGGTTCCAGGTTACACAAATCCATGGCAGAAAAATCAGCAGTGGAGGAGGAAATACACTGTTTATTTACAATTCTTTCACTTTATCCACAATTTCCCATACAAACATAAAAACTAAAAAAATAAAACCACCACTTGGGAACACAAGTGTCTTTCTTTAATTAGTCCATCGAGGGAGGGTCACAGCCCTCTCACTCTGTGAAGGAGACTATTGAGGCACACTGAAGGGGAAAAGGAAAGGGCTAGAAAGAATGCCTGAGAAACAGCTCCCGATGAGAAATGTAACACGCCAGCGTGGTGGGCTTCACTGGCAGGCTCAGGGCCCTACCCACAGGGGAAAAGTGCCTGGCTTGCCAAGAGGGTGCTGGCTGCCTGCCACCTCTTCACTATCAAACACCCAACATCCAACACAGGTCACACATCTCATGAGCTGTGTGGGGTGTGATGGTGACAGTGGGGGACACCGAACACCTCTCTCTGGGAAGAGCCCAAAACCCCAGGGACACACAGGAACCCTCTCCTTGGCACTGACAGTCAGTCACAGCTTCTGTCTTGAATACAATGCTGACTTAAAAATGTAAAAACAAAAGCCCTCCCCAGCTTCCAGGGGAAAGGCAGGGGCTAAAACATGCAGAAGGGCTTCTGCCTCTGTAGTCCTCTCTCTGGGAGGCTGCTAAGGGAGAAGGGTGGGGAGCTCTGACCGCTGAAGACGTGTAAGGAGTATGGCAGATGCTCCACAAAGGCCTGGGGCAGGGATTGAGGGGTGGGGGGCAGGGAGAGAAAAACTCTGAGACACTGATGCTTGGGTTGGCTGCCACCCGGTCTTCAAAGCAGCTCCATCTGCTTGGCTGTGCTCACTCTAGCAGACTCCCATTCACTTCCCTCACAGGAGGGCACCAAGAAACCAACCTGGAGGTGCTGAAGCCACCTGCCTGGCAACTTCATTTGTGCTAGTGACCTAGATTGCTTTCACATGTTGATGCACATTATAAATATAAAATCATATCTGCTACAAAGAAGACATATATTTATACATCTTTACCCATATACATAATAACACAATTTACACATAATATCTTGGAGTGGGTCATCACGGAAAAAGGGTCTGGAGAGGTAAAAAGCCCCTTCTCCCTCCCCCGCCCTGATCCTTCTCAAGGGATGCTTGTGTATGTGGTCACTGGGGCCCTTCCCAGTTGGTTGCAATGGGGATAGTCTGGACACAGACATTCAGACATGTAACTAAATGCTGATGGGTGTGTATACCCACATACACACACAGACGCAGGCACACATACAGATGTCTGTTGAGAAAAGGAAAAATGAAATTCCTAGCCCTTGGGTGTAGGCCTCTTCCCAGAGTTATAAGCATCAGTGCCTCCTCCATCTGAGAACAATGGTTTTAAAAAGCTGCCCCTCACTGGCTCAGACTTGGGCAGAAGGGGAAAGGCTAGGAATTGGGGGTAGAGGGGAGGGGCCAGGAGTCTTTTGAAAACATAAGGCGTTTTTGACCTGTGAGCAAATCAAACTATGTCACAAAAAAGCAACAGTATCAGTTGGAGCTGGGAGGCAAGAGACAGCCAGTCCATGTAGGGCAATGTGACTGGAGACCCTGAGCCTTCCCCTTCTTCTGTCCAGTTTCTTTTAAAGGGGCAGACAACCCTGTACCTCCTTTTCTGTCCTCTCCCAGAGCTGGGCCCATCCACATGTCATGGAATACTGATAGTGGTACAGGAGAGCCATCTGGAGACATGGAGTGGTGGACAGGCACACCAAAAAGTTAAGACCTGGGTGGCGGATGTGAGCTTTTTACAGCAGGAGTGGTTCCTGGCCGGGGTCCACGGCTCGCACAGTGGCCACAGTGATCAGATTGCCATCAGAGATGGGGGCAGTCTGGGTCCCCGCGGGGAGACAGCACCTATCGGCGGTAGTGATTGGGGGCGTCGGCAAACATGTACTTGAGTCTATACGCCTCAGCGAGGAGCAGCCCGATCTCTTCGTTGCCCCAGTGTATCGTAGGTAGGTTTTGTAGCAGCATGAGGAGACCCTGGAATGCAAGAAAGGACTTTCATCATTTTATCACTGACCAAGGGACCGGCAGGCCCTGGAATGGAGCCCCTTCTCCTGGGTCATGCATCCCAAGGGTCTGATCTCCCTCCTCCCAGGCGGCGCACAGCCCTTGGCCCCTAGTTCACCTTCAGGAAGCCTTGAATAGCCTCTGCTGAGTCTCTGATCCACTAACACCTGCTTCTTTAATAATATTATAAATAGAGAATGACAACAATAAATAAGGATCTTTAAAAGAGAAAAATAATCACTCATCATCCAAATATACCTCTCTTAATTTCAAAGTATTCCTTTTTAGTCTTTTTTCGCATGCATATTTCTTTAAATAGTTGTAATCATAATTATGATTTTACATGCTTTTTAACCATCCTTTTTTACTATAATTTTTGTGTTTTCCCATGCAGCCTTCAAAAATGATTATTCTCAATGTCAGTATTCTAGCATGTGGCTATCTATACCCTAATTGACTCAACCGTTTCCCTTTTTCCCTTTTATTAGATACTTAATTTGTTTCCTTTAAGGAAACAAAACAAAACCTTTATTGATAAGGCTGCTATGTACCCTTTTGCATTTGACATCTTTCTCTGAATCCCAATGTTCACTTGTAATCACTTTATTTATCCTCTGCCCTGTTCTCCAAAGACTCTCCTCAACCTACCTGTCCAGCTGATTTCCCACTGTTCCCAACATATGAGCCTCATCCAGCCAAGTCCACTTCAGCCACATCTATCTGTGCCTCCAGGGTTTAATTTAGGTTGTTTCTTTTGCTTAGAACACCTCCTCTTTTCTCTTCTCCCTATCTAAATCTTATTCAGTTTTCAAAGCCCAGGTCCCTCAAACAGCTCCATGGAGATGGCCTATTAAAGAGGATATTAGAGTAAAAGATGAATGTGAGGATTTCCCTGGTGGCGCAGTGGTTAAGAATCCGCCTGCCAATGCAGGGGACACGGGTTCAAGCCCGGGTCCGGGAAGATCCCACGTGCCGCGGAGCAACTAAGCCCATGCGTCACAGCTACTGAGCCTGCGCTCTAGAGCCCACAAGCCACAACTACTGAGCCCACGTGCCACAACTACTGAAGCCTGAGCGCCTAGAACCTGTGCTCCGCCAACGAGAAGCCACCTCAATGAAAAACCCACCTGCTGCAACGAAGAGTAGCCCCCACTCGCCGCAACTAGAGATAGACCACGCACAGCAACGAAGACCCAACGCAGGCAAAAATAAATAAATAAATTTATAATAAATTAATTAATTAAATAAATTTTTTGAAAAATGAATGTGAGACTTTAGGTTATCTCTGTAATTTAGCTACCCATGCTTCTGCTGCTACTTTGTGTTCTTTCTGTCTTCTTTCTGAACTGGATATTCTTCTTATTTTTCTGATTATTAAAGAAATAGTAGCAAGACAAAACCCAGAGACAAAAAGAGACTGACAGATTTGATACAATTTTGAAACCTCAATACGTGGAGGCACAAAAACAAGGTTAAAATATAAGAAACTGACTGTAAGAAAATATAACACTTATAAAAGACAAAAGGTTAATATCCACAATAAAAAAATGAGTACCTACAAATCAGTAAGAAAAAAAGGAAAACCACCAAATGGAAAAAACGGATGCGAATAGATATATACAAAATATCAATGGCCCACCATGCTAGAACATGCTAGAACCCTGCCTTTGGCTGATTTGCACCATCCAGCAATGCTTTGTAGTTTTCAGTGTAGAGGTCCTGCATATCTTTTATAAAATTTCTTCCTTTAGTAATAGAAATTTAGCGGGGCACAAAGCTGCCTCAGCACATCAAGGCTATGTATGGCCAGCATGATTAAGTTCTGGCCAACTTTGGAGACAGTGTAACTCTTGGGTTCTGCCCTAAGCTTACCCTTCTCTCCTTCCTAGAAAATGGCTATGAATGGAGGAGTGGAAGTGGTCATCTTAGACCGTAAGAATAAAGCTATGTGTTGAAGATGGCAGAGCAACATGAGAGAAGAAATCCGAGTCCCTGCTACTCTGGAGCCCTGTTAGCCCTGGACTCTTACACTCAGACTGTTAGTTGAAGAGAAGTAAACAACTACCTTGTTTTACGCCACTGTTATTCTCTGGTCTTGGTTTCAAGAGACAAGTTTATATCATCTTAAGAAACACAGGCCACATCTATCAAAATCAGAAATGCAGGTAATTCCCTGCTGGCACAGTGGTTAGGACTTGGAGCTTTCACTGCCGGGGCCCTGTTTCGATCCCTGGTCAGGGAACTAAGATCCTGCAAGTTGTGGCAGTGCGGCCAAAACAAACAAACAAAACAAAAACAAAACAAAACAAAAAACCAGAAATGCACATGGTCTCTGATCCAGCAACTCAACTTCTATGTACCTCTCCTTAGGAAATATTCGCACTCCTGTACAAGGGTCTGCACTGCATCATCGCTTCAAATAGTGGGGAAAAGGACACGAGGGAAGTGTCTGTCAGTATGCGACACTTAGATAAACCAGTTATCCAAATCATGAAATACAAGGCATCACCTGTAAAATGAAGCAGGCCTACATATGCCAAGGTGCAAAGATATCAAAGACATTTTAAGGGGGCGGGGGAACAAGCAAGTTGCAGAAAAACACTCATAGTACGATCCCACTGAGGTAAAAGAAAAAACACAACTATATGTTTGTATATGTACATAGGTATATAAAATTTTTAGAAGGCTAGGTGGTAAACTGTTAACAGTGGTTACCTTTGGGGATGGGAGACTTGCACTTTTTCTCATCACACATCCCCTTGTTTTCAATTATTACAATAAACTCTTTGTATATTACCTACTTATAAAATTTTTTTTCGAGTAATACACATTCTCCGGAAGTTTAAAGTTTTGTTTACTTTGTAAAAAGTAAAAAATCAGAAAATAAATTACCCTTAACTTTATAATCAAAAGGAAGCCACGTTTAAACGTTTTGGAATATTTCCTTCTAGTCCTTTTTCTGCACATTTTACACAGTTGAAATACTTTCTCTAAATAATTTTGAATCTGTTTAGCATTTATCATAAGCATTTCCTCTAATATTAAAAACTCCTTTTAGACATTTTCAACGGCCAAAGAATTTTCCATGATGCAGATGTACCATAATTTACATCTTCCTGCTTTGAGCATTTAATCATTTCTGGTTTTTCACTATAATGAAATTATAATGAACAGCCTTGTGCAAAAAGCCATATTTTAGATGATTTCCTTGGGCTAAATTCCTAGGAATGCAATTACTGTATCAAAGGGCATGAACATTTTAAAGGTACTTAAAGCTCATCCAGAAAAATGCTCATTTCCCTAGATCTCTACCAGCACTGAATACTCTCATTCAACAAACTTTGTTAGTTGTAACTTCTGTCCCTGAGATTTCCAAGCCTGAGAACAGAACTCAAAGCCATAAGTCAAGGGAATTCCCTGGTGGTCCAGTGGTTAGGACTCCGTGCTTTCACTGCCACTTTCACCGCCGAGGGCCTGTGTGGCGCAGCGAAAAGAGAAAAGATAAATCTGTAAATTGGAAAACCCTGCACTCAAGTTATTATCTTAATGTTTTCATTTTTTGTACAAGCATGTACTCATGTAATGTGAAAAAAATACAAAAATGGGGAAAATCATATAGATCTATGCTTTCTGACATTACAGAACACCCACTATATTTTGTACAGTGATAAAAAGAAGTTACAAAAACAACGTATACAAAATGTTTCCATTAACAGTTATGTACATACAATATGTTTTTATTCATATGGATTTGCATGGCAAAATGTCTGGAAGGAGATATATCACCTTTGTGTGGTAAGATTTCAGGTAACTTTTTTTTTTTCTTTTTGCTTATTGGTATTTCTAATTTTTCTATCATGGTTACACACACTTGCATAATTGACAAGCAAAAATAACCAACAAAGGGGTGACCTCTCTAGAAGAGAATATTCTTTGATAGGAGAAGCTCTACCTGTAATTTCCAATTCTTCTAGTTTTGCTAGAAACCTCCCAGAAGCCTTGAAATATTTCTTCCCCTGACCAAAGTCAACCTCCCACCTCTCCCAAGGGCAGGGAGGCTTAGGTGGAGGAACCATTCTGCCACCTGGTGGCCATGCCTAGGAACTGCACAGCCCACACAGTGCTGTAACAATGGGAACCCTGCCCATGCATTGATAAATTAGGGATAAAGAAGTAGAAACCAAATTATCACATGTGGGGAAAGAAGGTGTTAATCACAAATCAGGTGCTTTAATCAAGGGGTAGAGAAGAGACACTGCTAGGGTGGGGAACAACTGAACATTTGTTACAAAGCCAGCTCATGGGAGCACTAAGCATAACATGCAGTCAGGTGAAACACTACAGTCGTGAGAAGACAACTTGTGGGGCAAACAGCAGAGAGTGTTTCCACGTTAACAGAAGGGGGCAACGGCTTTCAGAAAAGAAAAGCTCGAAATGGCTGAAAAAGGTACCTTCTGAGAATCCACAGATTCCAAAGGAAGCGGAATATTGCAGAGGAAGAATCTGAGCCATGTGAGAGGGGGTGGGGGGAAGACAACGATTAGACAAGGGGGCCAAAGGAGAAGGGATAGTAGGTAACAAGAGGCCTTGGTAAGAAAAAAATGCAGGGGAAAGTCATTAGAGAATGTCCAACAGATGGAAGAACTGATGAGGAAGAGGGGGACCGTGAAAGATAATAGTCTTCATAATGGTAATTATCATTTACTGAGCACTTACTACTCACCAGATGGGGTTCTTCACACGTACTCTACTATCACATTTAATCCTCACATCAACTCTATGAAGCACATATTATTACCTCCATCTTACCGGTGAGGAAACTGAGGCACAGAAGTTAAGGAAGTTGCCTGGGGTCAGAGCGTAATGCTAGGCTGGGATTTGAACCCAGGCAACCTGGTTCTAGAGCTTGTGCTCATAACCACTATACTATATGCTGCATGCCTGGAGTAAGAAAAGTGGGGCATGATGGA